GAGAAAAAGAAATTGAAGGCATTAGAATAGGCAATAAGAAGACAAAACTATCGGGGCAGCTATGTGGGACAGTGGATAGAGCACCAGCCCTGAAGTCAGGAGGACCTGAGTTCAAATCTAGTCTCTGGGAGACCAAACACTTGACACTTACTAGCAAATTACTTAACCCTAATTGCCTTTAAAAAAAAAAAGGCAAAACTGTCACTCTTTGCAAATGATATAATGGTATACTTAGAGAATCCTAGAGAATCAACTAAAAAACTTCTTGAGATAATTAACAACTTTAGCAAAGTGACAGTATATAAAATAAACCCACATAAATCATAAGCATTTCTGTGTATTGCCAACAAAGCTCAGCAGCAACAGATAAAGAAATTCCATTTAAAGTAACTGTAGACAATATAAAATATTTGAGAGTTCACTTGCTAAGACAAACTCAGGAACTATATGAACACAATTACAAAAACACTTTTCAGACAAAGTCAGATCTGAACAATTGAAAAATAACAATTGCTCATGAGTAGGCTGAGCTAATGTAATAAAAATGACAAATCTACCTAAATTAATCTACTTATTCAGTGCCATACTAATCAAACTACCAAAAATTTATTTTACAGAACTTGAAAAAATAATAAAATTCATCTAGAAGAACAAAAGGTCAAGAATATCAAGGGAATTAATGGGGGGAAAATGCAAAGGAAGGTGGCCTAGTTGTACCAGATCTGAAACTATATTATAAGGCACAATCATCAAAACTATTTGGTCCTGGTTAAGAAATAGAGTGGTGGATCAGTGGAGTAGATTAGGTACACGAGACAGTAGTAAATGACTGTAATAATCTACTGTTTGATAAACCCAAAGCCTCTAGCTTCTGGGGTAAGAGCTCACTATTTGACAAAAACTGCTAGGAAAACTGGAAATAGGGCAGAAGCTAGGCATAGACCAACCTCTCACCCTGTATACAAAGATATGGTCAAAATGGGTGCACAATTTAGATATAAAGGGTGATACCATAAGCATATTGAGAGGGCAAAGAATAGTTTACTTGTCAGATCTGTGGAGAAAGGAAGAATTATAGCAAAACAAGAGATAGAGAATATTATGAAATGCAAAATGGATAATTTTGATTATATTATATTGAAAAGTTTTTGGACACACAAAACCAATGCAATCAAGATTGGAAGGAAAGCAGAAAGATAGGGAACAATTTTTACAGCAGGTGTTTCTGATAAAGGCCTAATTTCTCAAATACATAGAGAACTGAATCAAATTTATAAGAACACAAGTCATTCCTCAGCTGATAAATTGTCAAAGGATATGAATAGATAGTTTTTATGTGAAGAAATTAAACCTATCTGTAGTCATATGAAAAAATGATCTAAATCACTATTAATTAGAGAAATGCAAATTAAAAAACAACTCTGATATACCACCTCACACCTATCAGATTGGCTAATATGATAGAAAAGGAAAATGATAGATGTTAGAGAAGATGTGAGAAAATTAGACACTAGTGCATTGTTGGTGGAGTTGTGAACTGATCCAGCCATTCTGGAGAATAATTTGGAACTGTGCCCAAAGGGCTATAAAAATGTGCATATCCTTTGACCCAGAAATACCACTTCTAGGTCTGTATCCCAAAAAGATCATAAAAACGGGAAAAGGACCTACATGTATAAAAATATTTATAGCAGTTCTTTTTGTGTTGGCAAAGAATTAGAAATTGAGGGGCTGCCCATCAGTTGGGGAATGGATGAACAAGTTGTGGTATATGAATGTAATAGAAGACTATTGTGCAATAAGAAATGATGAGCAGGTAAATTGCAGAAAAACCTAGAAAGACTTACGTGAATTGCTGCTGAGTAAGTGAGCAGAACCAGGAGAACATTGTATGCAGTAACAGTAACACTCTGTAGTGATCAATTATGATTGACTTAGGTCTTCTCAGCAATACGTGATCTAAGATAGAGGTTCCCAAACTTATTTGACCTACCACCCCCTTTAAAAAAACAAAAACTTAGCGCCCCTCTGGAAATCTACATTCTTTAGCCCTTTAATGGTTTTTTTTTTTGAAACTTGCATCATTTCAAAAAATACATAAAATATTTTTTTAGATGACATCCTAAATTTAACAATTTATCGTAAATTTGTGGTATTTTTCCTGCATTGAAATTTTGGTGATACAATATTGTGTCATGTAACCATATACTATAGTCTTGTAAACAAGTCATTACATGCACACATATTCCTGCTAGTGCGTGCTGTACTTCCCAACAGTGTGCAATACGCTTGCCTGCCAATACTTGCTTGTTAAGATCTGTTTGTGGACTTGACCACTAACTGGTTATAACTTGCATTTTGTGTGTTTATTTGGAAAACAATGCAGTCACCACGACTTTAACTCTGTTACACAAAAGACAAAAGTTTTCAACATTCATTTCCATAAGCTTTTGAGTTTTATGTTTTTCCTCCTCCCTCCCCACTTCTCTCTCCAAGACGTCATACTGACTGATACAAGCTGTACATATACATTCCTATTAAATATTTTCACATTAGTCATGCTGTAAAGAAGAATTAGAACCTATAGGAGGAACCACAAGAAAGAAGAAACAACACAAAATAGAAGAAAAAAACAGTAAATAGTATGCTTCAATCTGCATTCAAACTCCATAGTTCTTTTTCTGGATGTTAATAGCATTTTCTGTCATGAGACTTTTGGAGAAATAACACAAAGACTCTTGTTGGAAAATGATACCCACATCCAGAGAAAGAACTATGGAGTCTGAATGCAGATATAAGCATATTATTTTCACTTTTTTGTGTGTGTGCCTTTTCCCTTTGTTCTGTTTCTTCTTTCACAGCATGACTAATGTGAAAACATTCCCATGATTGCACATTCTGTATCAGATTGCTTGCTGTCTTGGGGAGGGAGGAGCTATAAAAGGGAGGGAGAAAAATTTGAAACTCAGAATCTTATTTAAAAAAGTAAATGTTGAAAACTACCTTTATATGTAATTGGATAAAATAAAATACTATTTACCAAAAATTTTAAAAAGTCCTAACTGTGGTAGTCCCACTGTCAGTGATAATAGCAGTAGAATACTCCAGAAATGCTGGTGATCTGTTGGATTCACACATTTTGTTTTTTTTCTAGATTCATCTCTAAATACTCTTGGGATGATATGGCTAAGCTGGATCTCATGTCAAGCTTTCCCAAAACTTTTTTTCCTCTCTGTTTTTCACTGTTTTATAAGAATACTGTTCATAGTTGGCCACCAATCTCCTCCCCTCAAGTGTTTTTTTAATACTTAATACTTTATTTTTTAAAAAATATCTAAAACATCAAGAACAAGTTTATGACAAAGGAAATAAATGCCCTGTGATTAGAAAGACAATGAGAATTACAAAGATGTTTGTTCAGGATTGGTGGAAGGAAGGTTGAGGTGAAGATGAAATATCTGAAAACCTTTTCTTTTAAGCAACAACAAACATACTCCATATGTTTGTTTTTCTATCAAAGAAAAAAGACAGGGCCATGAAATGGAATGTCATCATCTGTTAGTTGGGATCTGTTTAGTTTTTTCCCCTCAGTGTTTTGTAAATGAAATTATACTTCAACCCAGCCTTGGCCTTGCCTTATGGTTCACTTCAATCTCATAGTTATGGTGACTGTTGTTCACATAGGCTAAAATTCTTGGGGAAAAAAGAGTGATTATCAGAATCATTGTCTTTTGTATTTTTTAACCTTTGTTTCCTGGTTTGAGGAGTCAGTTTTCATATTTCTTTGGCGGATAGATAATGAAGAATGCTACCTACTTCCGGGCAGAGAGCTGATAGACTTATATGCAGAAGAAACACATCCTTTGGACATGGCCAGTATAGGACTTTGTTTTGCTCAACTATACTTATGTGTAGTCAAAGATTTTGTTTTTGTTTTTCTTAGAGAAGGAGGATAAAGGAAATGGGAAGGAGAAAAATAAATAGGTGATAAGAATTTTTTTTCTTCACTATTAAGCTTCATTTTTGGTGATGTTTGGTGCTTCAGGGCCTTTGGACTCTTTTTAAAGAAAGTATTTATCATATGAGGTTTCTGAATCTACAGAGCTCCATTTCTTAATACTGACCTCCATCTTCCAACCTTCTTATTTGCACTGAAATCAACAAATACAGCTTGGTTTAGAGAATCTTGCCCGGTTCTTTTTAGAATTTCTTTACTTCATCCTCTGTAACATTGTGGTTGGTATTTAAGTTGCAGTTATGCTTTTATAGTCATATGAAGGGACTTACTGGGGTGAACTCCCAGGATTAGGTATAGATAGAAACTAGTCATATTCTAGTTACCATTGTCTAATAAAAAGCATATGGACTCTGAAGTGTCAGGAGACCTGGGTGTTGATACTAGCTGGAACACAACTGGGACACTTGGGACAAGTCATTTGACCAGCCCTAGTTCCCCCATCACTAAAATAGGGTTGAAGTTGAATCTCATCTATGAAAGCACTTTAAAAATGTAAAAAAAAAAAGGCATTATACAAATGCAACAGAATATTACTCTTATAATTATGCTAAAGATAAACAGCAGCAAAAGATTTTTGAGACTTCATGCTGGTTTTCACAAGGAAAAAAGGTTGTTAGCATGAAAATGTTTAGGTTTTCCATCAAAGTATCTTGACATTGAACTATGTGCATATAATATAAAAAGGAAGAAGAGATTGGGTATGCTGGTTTTAAGGGAATCCCTTTTATGAAACCACTTCAAATGCAAGAATAAACATGAATTAAAATCAGAGTATAACAGCTAAAATGACAGCATAATAAACTGAAAATGATAGAACCTTGCATATATGCTGTTCCCATAAAATTAGTTTTATATAATTTTAAAACCGTCCTGATGGCTAACACTACGGCACATTTTAATGTAAACAGTAGTACATGCTTTTTGTATAATTTATTAATGGCACATTTTTCCCCCTTCAATTCTCTTATGTCATTTCTTATAGGATCTTTACAAGTCAGCTTTCTTTTATTTTGAAGGAACATTTTACAATGATAGAAGATACCCTGAATGCAGAGATTTGAGCAGGTAATTATTTTTCATAAAATCTGTTTTTTCCCAGTTCTAAAGTGGAAGCAATACAAATAAGCTAGAAATGAAGACTTTTTGACAAGAAGTATTTTGATTACTTAAGATATTTTGGATAAAAATTTTAACTTCCTAACTTTTTGAAAATTCTGTGATCAGAGCATTGAACAACCAAAATAGGAATTGTCATACCAGGGAGGTATAGAGAATATTTGTTTTAGGACAGACATATTAACTTCTGCAAATGTGTTTAAAAACAAAAACTTTCCTTTAACTTACTCATAGTCTTTTGTATTGCAGCCTTGCAAACAAATCCAAAAAATTTAGTTACCATACCATTAAAACATATCACCAGGCTGTTCTTCATCATGGGATAGTGAAATGAATTGACTTTGATTCCTTTGCATTTACTCAGGGCAAGAAACTATATGTAAATCTTAAAAATTTTATTTTTAGTTTTCAGCATTCACTTTCACAAGATTTTTGAATTCCAGATTTTTTCCCCATATCTCCTCTTCCCTCACCCCAAAACGCCTGTATTCTCATTACCCCTTTCCCCAGTCTGCCCTCCCTTCTGTCATCCCCCTGTCATCCCCCCCTTCTCTTATCTACTTCCCCTTCTGTTTTCCTGTAGAGTAAGATAGATTTATATACCCCATTGCCTGTGTGTCTTATTTCCCAGTTACATGTAAAAACAATTTTTAACGTTTGTTTTTAAAACTCTGAGTTCCAAATTCTCTTCCTTCCTCCATCCCCACCCACCCTCATTGAGAAAGTAAGCAATTCGATATAGATTATACATGTATGGTCATTCAAAACATTTCTATAATACTCATGTTGTGAAAGACTAACTATATTTCCCTCTATCCTATCACACCCATTTATTCCATTCTTTCCTTTGATCCTATTCCTCTTCAAAAGTGTTTGCTTCTGATTACCTCCCCTCCCCCAGTCTGCCCTTCCTTCTATAACCGCCCACCTCATATCCCCTTCCTCTCTACTTTCCTATAGGGTAAAATAGATTTCCATACCCAATTGAGTGTGTATGTTATTCCCTCCTTAAGCCAAATCCAATGAGAATAAGATTCACTCATTCCCTCTCACCTCCCCCCTCTTCTCGTCCACTGTAAAAGCTTTTTCTTTCCTCTTTTATGTGAGATAATTTACCCCATTCTACCTCTCCCTTTCTCCTTCTCCTAGTACATTCCTTTCTCACCCCTTAAATTTATTTTAGATATCATCCCTTCATATTCAATTTACCCTGTGCCCTTTTGTCTATATATATTCCCTGCAACTATCCTAATAATGAGAAAGGTCTCATGAGTTACAAATATCATTTTTCCATGTAGGAATATAAACAGTTCAACTTTAATAAGTCCCTTATGATTTCCCTTTCCTGTTTACCTTTTCATGCTTCTTTTGAGTCTTGTATTTGAAAGTCAGTTTTTCTATTTAGCTCTGGTTTGTTCTCAAGAATGCATTAAATTCCTCTGTGATACTGAATATCAATTTTTCCCCCTCATTGATTACACCCAGTTTTACTGGGTAGGTGATTCTTGGTTTTAATCCTAGCTCCTTCAACCTCAAGAATATCATATTCTAAGCTCTCCGATCCCATAATGTAAAAGCTGCTAAATCTTATGTTATCCTGATTGTTCTTTCTGGCTGCTTGCAGTATTTTCTCCTTGACCTGGGAACTCTGAAGTTTGGCTATAATATTCCTGGGAATTTTCCTTTTGGGATCTCTTTCAGGAGGTAATCGGTGGATTCTTTCATTTTTTTTTTTTTATCCTCTGGTTCTATAATATCAGGGCAGTTTTCCTTGATAATTTCTTGAAAGATGATGTCTAAGCTCTTTTTTTTTGATCACGGCTTCAGGTAGTCCAATAATTTTTCAGTTATCTCTCCTGGATTGATTTTCCAGGTCAGTCTTTTTTCCAGTGAGATATTTCACATTGTCTTCTATTTTTTTCATTTTTTTGATTTTGTTTTGTATTTTCTTGATTTCTTTTTTTGAAAATTTCTTGATTTCTAATAGAGTCATTAGCTTCTATTTGCTCCATTCTAATTTTTAAGGACATTTTCTTCAGTGAGCTTTTGGACCTCCTTTTCCATTTGGCAAATTTGGCTTAAGGCATTCTTCTCCTCATTGGCTTTTTTTTTTTGCCTCTTTTGCCATTTGACCTAGTCTGTTTTTTAAGGTGTTATTTTCTTAAGTATTTTTTGTGTCTTCTTTAGCAAGCTATTGACTCGTTTTTTGTGATTTTCTTGCATCACTCTCATTTCTCTTCCCAGTTTTTCCTCTGCTTCTCTTAACTTTATTTTTAAAATCCTTTTTGAGCTCTTCCATGGCCTGAGACCAGTTCATGTTTTTCTTGGAGGCTTTGGGTGTAGGAGTTTTGACTTTGTTGTTTTCTTCTGAGTGTATGTTTTTATCTTTCTTGTCACCAATGTGAAATTCTATAGTCTGAATTTTTTTCCATTGTTTGCTCATTTTCCCAGCCCAATTACTTGACTTTTTAAGTCTTTCTTCAGGTAGGGTTCTGCTTCCAGTATGGAAGCCATACTGTCCCAAGCTTCAGGGGTTTTGTGCAGCTGTTTTCAGAGATACTTCTAGGGACCTATAAGTTTTCAGTTCTTCCAAGGTGGTATGGTCTAAGGAGAGATGTTTTCTGCTCTGTGAGTGACCAGAAACATTCTTTTCTGCCCTAGAACTGTGAGAAGGGTTCCCTCTCCCCTGCTGCCACAAGCTCTGCTATGCTAGTGCTCCTCATTACCCCTGGACTGCCACCCAGGACTGTGACCTAGATCCAGGTGTGGGCAAAGCAGCAAAGTCTTGCCTCAGTGCCAAAAGAGATCCCTGTAATCTCCTTCTGATCAGTTGAACAATCCCCTTCTGTCTGTGGGCAGAGAGCTCCAGAAGCAGCCACTTCCACTGCCACTCCTGCCCCTTCTTGGGGCTGGGCTGGAGCTGGACTGTGCTCCTCTTTCACCCAGGTCCAACAGATGTTTCCCACTGACATTTTAAGTTGTGTTTGGTGTTCGTGGGCTGAGAAATCTGGAAACTGCCACAGCTGCCAATAATTCAGTCCCCTGAGTCCCACTCCAGGTTTGCTGGGGCCCAGTCTGTGCTAGCTCATCTTGTGCGGGACTGCGCTCCTCTCTTAACCTGGTGCCACAGACTTTTCCTGTCTACCTTCCAGGTTGTCTTGGGCTGGAAATTTGTTTCATTCTGTCTTTTTGTGGGTTCTGCTATTCTAGAATTTGTTTAGAGTCATTTTTTACTGGTAATTGCAGGGGTTTAGGGGAGTGTTGAAGCAAGTCACTGCCATTTTCTGCATTTTTTAAATTAAATTCTACATATTAATTGCCGATTGTGCAGAATATTGTCCTAGGTATTTTAGAAAAAGGAGTTAAGATTCATTCTTTGCCTTTAAGTTCTAACTTGGAATTTAGTAGAGGGTTGTGATACATAGACATACAATATGTGATAAAGTATGAGTAAACAGAAGAAGGTCATTAGCAGCAGGGGGAGAAGTCAGAAGTTTCTTAAAGCATGATGTAAGACTACTTATTTATAACTTGAGGAAACAGTTAAGTGGCACAGTGGATAGAACATTGGACCTGGAGTCAGAAATACCCAAGTTCAAATCTGACCTCCAGTACTTACTAGCTGAGTAAGTCACTTAACTTCTCTCTGCCTCAGTTGCCTTATATATAAAATGGGGATAATGAAAGCATCTACATTCCAGTGTTGTAACAATAAAATGAGATATTTGCAAAGTGCTTTGTAAATGCTAGTTATCATTATTATTATTACTTTGCTATACTTACCAATGGACATTATATAAATAATGGATGGTGTTCTGTTAACTAATTTAGTCAGAATCCTATATTTGCGTAAGTTTTTTTTGAAATTTTCCTCATACCGTCCCAAAGAAGGATCTTTGTAAAGCCATATCAATTACAAGTAGTAAAAGAAAGACAAGGATATTGAAACCTCATCATGTCTTAGCTACAATGACTTCAATCTAGAATTGACAATTCTCCAGTTAACTGGGAGGTGTTAGTTGTAGTGCAACATGACACTCCTGCCAAATGTCCTCTATCCTTTTATGTTTCTTGGGCAGCATGGTTGATCATATATACTCCTGCTTGTTTTCAGAACAATTATTGAGTGGTCAGAGTCCCACGATCGAGGATATGGGAAGTTCCAGTCTGCTAAAATGGAAGATTTCACCTTCAATGACCTGTACATTAAATTAGGTTTTCCTTACCTGTACTGTCACCAGGGAGACTGTGAGCATGTTGTCATTATCACAGATATAAGGTATATAGAAATATTTAGCTTATGCTGTATTTCCTTTCTCTTTTTTGAACATACATCAGAATGAGAAAAAGAAAAACTTTTAACGTCATTATAGGTTACTTACAGCAAAAAAACTAGTTTATTTCAGTTCAGTAACCAAAGTTTCCTAACCACTTAGGATTTCCTCACTTTCTGCCTTCTGTTTTATTTGGTATTACATCTAAATTCTTAACTCATATTTAATACAAGCTGCTGTGATTGGGTATGATTATGCATTTTATGTATCACCCAGGCACCTTCTTGTTTTACCTTTTTTTCCCCCTTTCGTATTTAGATTATTGGTTAATACCATTACCAAATGGTGAAAGAGAGAAAAACAATATTTTTGGTGATTCTGATAAAAAAAAATTAATTGGAAGGATTACATTTACTAAGAGGAGACTTAGGAATTAGTTATATGTTTCACTTAGGTATTACCTGTGGCACAAGTAGAGGAACTCCTTTTACTAACACTTGGAATTACAATGTCTATATATACAAGACCCTAGCTACCTACCTCTACCATTGCTGCCCTTTTCCAGTTTTGCACTGAGATTGTTGTGAAAACAGCAACCTTTTGCCCTCAAAGCCCTTAAATTCTCCTCTTGGAGTTAAGGAAGCTGGAGACTTTAGCTCTGTCCCTGCCTCATCAGAGGCAGTGGTAACAATTTAAGTGACCTGACCTCTAAGGTTGCCATCTCTCCTCACCTCCACCAGCCTGTGCTGTTGTTCGCTGCCATTGTGTTCTTCCTTCCACTTGATCTAGATGATTATGTTCTGTCAGAGGAAGTCACCACTGCAGTTAAGGGATAGCTGGTGTCTGCAGCTGTAAGCAGAGGAGGGGAGGGAGATGTGTTTTTGGCATGTCCGCTTGAAACTTCATACTAATTTTTCAGTAGAAGCAGATTTATAATGGTTAAGATAACATTAGTCCCGTAGCTTCATTATGAGTGAAATAGACTAATGTTGGTTGGCCTGGAAATTTGGTTACTACTTACCAACCACCCTATATAATTGTTTCTCTGGAAAATGTATTATGAATTGCCACCAGACAAATGAAAATCAGCTCTTAGAACTCAACCTCCTTAGAAGTTGGGTGCTACTTTTAATTGAAAGATGTTAAAATCCTAATTAATTAAAATACTTATATGATAACTTATTTTGGTTTGCTCCCAGTGTTTCAGTTATTATTGTAAATCTTTCTAAAATGTATTATTTAATTTCCTGTATTTATAAGTGAGACATACTGAAATTAATTGTATATTTGATATTTAGGGATTTTGCAGGTTCTTATTTTGAATGCATGAGAAATATGCAAAGGACTCTCATATGGAAAGGGGATTGGATATATCATTATAATTGTGATGGCAAAAATAGGAGCAGTGGGTGGAAGTTTGACAGAGACATATATTGACTTGATATAATGAAGATATTGTTACTAGATGCGATATATTGGCTTTAAAAAAAACTTTAATGACCTTCCTTACTAAAGTAATGAGCCCCTTTCATTAGAAGCAGATAAGCGCTGACTAGATGATATGTCAGGGATTTTAGAGGAAATTGAGGAGTTTGGATGAGATTCAGTTCACCAATTCAGCAAACATTTATTAAGCATTTGCGTTATTACATATTTGCTCTGAAAATTGTTTTAGATTTAGAAAAACCTAAAGTTTTTTTCCCTTAATTTTTACCATTACTGTTTTTTGTCCATATCAATTTACTATTTAAATCTTTGTAAAAATGTAATCATAGTCTGCACTCAGGTTTTATAGAAATTGTATTTTGGGCAAACATTGAGGATCTCACCTACCATCATAACATTTATATTCTTAACTGAATAATTTATACTTATAGGAAGGTCTCTTACATATTAGTGCCAACTAATGGATGAGTAAAGTGAATAGCAATAAATGAGAATGTGAAGGTAGGTTATATAACACTTTGTCTTTGTAATGCCCTAATGTATTCTTCCTTAAGGCTTGTGCATCATGATGACTGCTTGGATAAGACACTTTATCCCCTACTCACCAAGAAGCACTGGTTATGGACCAGGAAATGTTTTGTTTGTAAAATGTACACAGCCAGGTAAGTAATCCTTAATGTTTCTCAAAATGTGAGATGAGTAGTTTTATTGGGGACATTCATTAGCTTTCTGACCCTCTGTGGGAAAATGGAATGCCTTTTGTACATGGAAAAGAAATGAGTATTTAATATGTCTGCTTTGAGTACTTTAAATTTACTTTTCTGATTAATAACATAGTACAAATTCTGAATAGTCAACACGGCGGTGGGAAAACTTATTAGAATGGATGAGATTGTAAAACGCTGGAAGACTTAAAAAGGGAGACAATTTCCATTTTAATCTTAGGAGGAGAACAATGTAAAATGGCACCTTACAGTTCTAGAATTAAAAGAAACCTTAGATCATAAGGATAGCCTCAGAATTTTTGAGAGAATGAAGCTGAGGTCCATAGTTTGAGAATTATACATTGTAGTATTGCAGGTTACTGACATATCTACATTAGAATTCATGTTCACTGGCTCCCACTGAAGTGCTTCTGGAGTTTGAGAATTCTGATGGTCTTTAAGTATGATGTTTATCTTTTTTTGAAAAAAAAAATTTATATTTAACATTCTCCTTTTTACATTTTGAGTTCCAAGTTCTCTCCCTCCCACCCTCCCCCATCCACTGAGAATTCAAGCAATGTGATATGAATTGTACATATGAAATCATGCAGAACTTGCTAGCAAAACGCACGCGCCCCCCCCCAGAAAAAAAGGAAAGTGAGAAAATTATACTTCATTTTGCACTCAGAGTTCATCAGTTCTCTCTGTGGAAGTGGATAGCATTTTTTGTCATGAGTCCTTTGGAATCGTCTTGGATCATTGTATTGCTCAGAGTAGCTGAGTTTTTCACAGTTGATCATCATTACCACATTGCTGTTACTGTGCACAGTGATATCTGATTCTTCTCACTTCATTTTGCATCAGTTCATTCATATAGGTCTTGCAGTGTTTTTTCTGCAACCTCCCCCATCATTATTTGCCACAGCAAAATAGTACTCCATCACAATCATATGCCAAAATTTATTCACCCATTCCCCAATTGATGAGCATCCCCTCAATTTCTAATTCTTTGCCACCACAAAAAGAGCTGCTGTTTTTGTACATGTAGGTCTTTTTCTTTTTTCTTTGCTCTCTTTGAGGTACAGACTTATTAGTGGTATCAGTTTTATAACCCTTTGGACCTCGTTCCAAATTGTTTTATAGAATGGTTGGACCAGTTCACTACTCCACCAATAGTTCATTAACATACCGATTTTTCCCTCATCCTCTCTAGCATGTCATTTCTGATAGGTATGAGGGGATAACCTCAGCATTATTTTCATTTGCCTTTCTCTAATCAATAATGATTTAGAGCATTTTTTCATAACTACAGATAGCTTTGCTCTTCTGAAAACGGCATGTTTATATTCTTTGACTATTTATTAATAAGGAATGGCTCTTATTTTTATACACTTGACATAGTTCTATACATAGTATATGTTTGAGAAATGAGGCCTTTCTTGTGATGGAAAATGCTGTCCACATCTAAAGAACTATGGAAGTTGAATCACTGTCACTTATTTTTCACCTGTTGAAGTTTTGTTTCATCTTTCTGATGGTTCCTCCTATTGGTTTTAATTTTTACTTACAACTTCACTGATGTGAAAATATGTTTAATAGGAATGTAAATGTAAAGCCTATATCAGATTGTGTGCCGTCTTGCGGGGGGGAGGGGGAGGAAAATTTTCAACTCAAAAGCATATGGAAGTGATTGTTGATAAATCAAAATAAATTAATAAAATTTTTTTAAAAAGAAAAAGAAATGAGGCCTTTATCAGAAAATTTTTTGATAATACTTCACTGTCTGTGGTACCTTTTAGCACAAGTTTCCCTGATTGTGTGTCTTTTAATTTGTTCTATTTTTGCTTTGTCTGAGATTGTGATTGCTACTGGTTTTGGGTTTTTTTTTTTACATCAGCTAAAGCATATTAGATTCTACTGTAACCCTTTATTTTTAATTCTATGTGCTTTCTGTTTGAGTTATTTCTCTTGTAGATACTGTTGAGTATGGCAGAAACTAGGCATAAACCAACATCTTACACCATATACCAAGATAAAGTCAAAATGGGTACATGATTTAGATAGAAAGGCTGATACTTACTATAAGCAAACTAGGAGAGCAGGGAATAGTTTACCTGTCAGGTCTATGGAGAAGGGAAGAATTTATGACCAAGCAAGAGGTAGAGAACATTATGAAATGCAAAATGGATTATATTGTTTACATTAAATTGAAAAGTTTTTGTATAAACAAAGCCAATGCAATCAAGAAGGTAGTCATAAAATTGGGAAACAGTTTTTACAGCCAGTGTCTCTGATAAAGGCCTCATTTCTAAAATATGTAGAGAACTGAGTCAAATCTGTAAGAATACAGGTCATTCCCCAATGATAAATGGTTAAAGGATATGAACAGTTTTTGGAGGAAGAAATTAAAGCTACCTATAGTAATATGAATAAATGCTCTAAATCACTGTTGATTAGAGAAATGCAAATCAAAACGACTCTGAGGTACCACCTCACACCTATAAGATTGGCTAACATGACAAAACAGGAAAATGATAAATGCTGGAGATGACGTGGGAAAATTGGAACATTAAATGCATTGTTGGTGGAGTTGTGAACTGATCCAACAATTCTGGAGACCCATTTGGAAGTTTGCCCAAAGGGCTATAAAACTGTGCATACCCTTTGACCTAGCGATACCACTTCTAGGTCTGTATCCCAAAGAGATCATAAAAATGGGAAAGGGACCCACACGTACAAAAATATTTATGGCAGCTCTTTTTGTGGTGGCAAAGAATTGAAAATTGAGGGGATGCCCATCAACTGGGGAATGACTGAACAAGTCATGGTATATGAATGTAATGGAATACTATTGTGCTATAAGAAATGATGAGCAGGCAGACTTCAGAAAAACCTGGAAAGACTCATGAGCACAACCATAACGTTGTACACAGTAACAGCCATGTTACATGTAACAGTGCAGTGACTGTTTCTGATAGACTTAGCACTTCTCAGCAGTGCAAAGATCTAAGACAACTCCAAAAGACTGATGATGGAAAATGCTATCCACATTCAGAGAAAGAACTTAGGAGTCTGAATGCAGATGGAAGCATACTATTTGTTCTCATTTTCTTTTGTTGTTTGGTTTGGTTCCTCCCATTAGTTCTAATTCTTCTTTACATCATGACTAATGTGAAAATATATTTAATATGAATTTATAAGTAGAGCCTGCATCAGATTGCATTGCGTCTTGGGGAAGGAGAGGAAGAGAGAAAAATTTTAAAACTCAAAATCTTATGGAAGTGAATGTTGAAAACTAAAATTTACAACATTTAGTTATGATTACTGTGAATTTCCTTCCATCTCATTTTCTTTTTATCTTATCCCTCCTTAGAAGTGTATTTTGCTTCTAACCACTGTCTCCCTTAATCTATTTTTTACCATCTAATCTAATCTTTTACCATCTCCCAACCCCTTCCTCTAATCCTATTTGGCTCCTAGTTCTGGTCTAACATTTCTCTACACAACTGATTGCGTATATATATCCTTACCTCTTTGAATCAATTCCAGTAAGACTTAAGAATTATCTGCTACTCCCGCTGCCCCATTTTCCCCTCCACTGTAAAAAGCTTCCTTGAGTGCCTTCTATGTGAGAAAGTTTTCCCCATTCTACCTCTCCCTTCCCACTCCTCCCAGTGCATCCCTCTCACTCCTTTCATTTTTTGCCTCTACTACACTGTCTTGACTCTACCAGTTTGTTTTCAATTTTGACTCTATTCTCTATAGAATCATCTTGTTACAGAGTGATAGCTTGTTTTTAGAATGAATATGATGAATGAACCTGTTAAAATTACCAAGAATTCCCAGTTTTTTATTTTTGGGGGGAATGGGGGAGGCAATGGGGTTAAGTGACTTATCCAAGGGGTTAAGTGACACAGCTAGCTAGTCTCAGGCCTTGTTTGATCTTAGGTCCCCCCCGACTCTATCCACTGTGCCACCTAGCTGACCCCATGTTCATTATTTTATTAAAAGATTTTTAATCTGTCATCATGTGTATCATTTCTATAACTTCAGTTAAATACGAGTCATGCTTCCAGTATTGTACATCAAATTTAAATTCTAGGTTAAAGGTCGTTTTCTAATTTTATGGGTTTTTCATCCAGGCTCCCAGTTTTGCAATGAGCTTATTGCTGTAGTGCAAAAGCACGACTAAAACATTATTTAGATCTCATATTGGATAATGTTTTTACATGATACTGAATCCACACATTGGCCCCATATTTTTCATTCTTTTCTCTTCAGGAGTAAACTATGCATGATGTGATACCATATTTACTCATAAAATTAATTACCCTACAACAAATAAAGGGGACATGTGAAAAAAAGGATTCATGTGAAAGTCTGAATCAGGTTGTTCTCAACTTTCATAGTCATTTTGATGGGATATATTTACCATAAGTTTGATTAAATATGTATAGGTTGAAATTATTTCTCTAATGATACTAATCAAACTTATTTATAGAGCCACATAGTAACAATAGTAGTTATATAGTGCTTCAAGGTTTGCAAAGCACTTGACAGATATCTTATTTGATCCTCACAAAAATCCTGGAAGTACTGATGCTTTTATTTTCCCCATTTTGCATATTTGTAAATGAGGAAGGCAAGATTTGAACTAAAGTTTACTGACTGCAGTTCTCTATGCCCACCCTGCCATGTAGGTGCTTCATCAGAGCAGTAGGAAAACAAAACATTTTGGTAATAAGAGGATGTGGTAGGGCATATCGCTATATTCCCTCATTTTTTTTTACATGTGAGTCAAAGTAAAATGCAAATATTAAATTTTTCTTTTAAACTACAGATGGGTGACCAACAACGACTGCTTTGCACCAGAGGATCCATGTTTCTTCTGTGATGTTTGCTTCCGAATGCTCCATTATGATTCTGAAGGCAACAAACTGGGGGAGTTCCTTGCTTATCCTTATGTTGACCCTGGAACTTTTAACTGAAGACAACACAGGGACACTATGAACAACCCATGGTTGTTTGGAATAGTTGCAATACTTGTCAGACATGTCACTTTCTGAATGTCAGGAGAATCTTAGGCAAAAGCAATCTATTTGGCTAACCCATTTAGCTGTTAACAGTTTTATTATTTGGTAGCTTTTTTTTTAAAGCTTAAGTTTGGGTATATGATATATTAAATTCATAGTAAATTTGTTATTACTCTAGTTACATTTTTCTTTCTCTGAGCTAACCACAAAGGCAACCTGTGTCTCTGCTTTAGTCATTCCTTTCAAGTTGCAAGTAATAAAATTAGACCCACTTAAGATTACTTATGTGACCCAAGGAACTGAGTGGACTTCAAGAGAAAGCAAAGGTAAATTACGGGTCAATTATGTAAAAGAGATGGGGGCATGTAGTTTAATGAAAATCAGAAATAGTTGCAGAGCAAGCAAGTTTAATTAGTTGCATTGATGTTCAAGATAAGTGGAATCTCTAGTGCCTCAGTAATTTGTCCTTTCAAAATTTTGTCAACATTGGTTTTACTGATTTGGAAGGTAAATGGTAGAACTTCTCTGAAGCAGTGGTTTAGTGGTGGTTGTCAGTGCAGTTTCATTTGATTTTCACCAAGATTTAAAAATAATCATGTTAATGTTCTTAAATTCAAATTAGTTAAGATTTAATAGACTCACTGAGTAGTTTGATATGCCCAGTATCATTTAAGTTTTCTATATCCATGTTGAAGATAGAAACCAAATTTTACTACTACCCTATGTCCAAGTAAATTGCTGTTGGTTCTGTCTAAAATATTTTTTAAAAATCCAACATTTTGCATTCTACTTCTCTTCCCTACCCGCCCCATGCCCCGTAAGCAGATTTGATGCACATTTCCCATATTAGTCATGTTGTAAAACATACTTTTTATATGCCTTTTTGTAATGTAGAAACTTTGGCTTGAAGCAGGAATATTTAACTTGGTCAATGTACTTAAGATTTTTAACAGTTATGTTTTTGTGCATTGCTAAAGGGGATCATGACACAAAAAATGTTAAATACCCTGATACTAAATATCTCTGAGAAGGAAGTTCAAAAAAGACCAGTTTCGTCACATTGTTTCACCTTTCTTTTCTTTGTATATGGAAATAAACATGTCATAAGAAAACATTTTAATGTGAAAAAACCTAAGGGGCAACTAGGTGGCACAGGTGATAAGAACAGTGGCCCTTAGACCATTGTTCAAATCCAACCTCATACAGTTAACACCTGTGACCCTGCGCAAGTTAATTAACCCTGAATGCCTAGCCAAAAAATTTTTTAAAAATGGGTGAGATCTTGAGTTTTGAAAAAATATGGCAAATTTTCCATTTTCTTTTGTCTAGGTTAACATTAAAAGAATGAAAACTGAATTTTACGCCTGGATTTTTGGGAACAACATCTGTACTTAGAGTTATGACTGTGCTTAAGAGAACCTCATCATACATTTGTAAAAAGGTTGGTAATCACATGAACTTTAGATAGTTTTGTCGAGTCTTGCCCTAATTTAAAATATTTACAATTTTTCCACTGTTCAGTTACTTATGTACTCTTTTCTACTGTGCACCAAGCTTGAGTTTAATTTTTCACTTACCACCCTGAAAAATGCCAAGAATTGGTATTTCATATTTTCATACAATATTGTAATGGAGAAGTTTGACTTATAGATGTTTCTACCAAGTTACCACTCGTTTTGATAATTTTTGTTCTATAACTTCAGACTACAAAAAGTCTAGCTAAAAGTAACTTTAAGGGTTTTTTTTATTAAGTATGTTAAGATGCAACAAAGAAAAGTCTAAAAATACACAGTGGTGACTTCATTCGGTTGAAGTAAAAAATTCAGTAATAGCTTTCCTATGCAAGTTGAGTGACTTGAAATCAACTATAAACTGTCAGTTTTCAGGATCTAGGATACCTTGTTGCACATGTGCCAGCACAATTCTAGCCTTCTTCCTAATTAAGCCTTGAAATCAGTTATTTTATCTTACCTTACTGTATAATTTCTGGAAGCTATGACGAAATCGATTCTTCATCAGGAAAAAGTGTTACGCATCTTGATCAAACAACATACTAGTGAATTCAGATCGACAAAATTATCTTTAATCAAAATTGGTTAAGTTTACATTGACACTTTGAATTAGCTACAATAAATCTGATTGTTTAAAAAATTAAATTAGGAGCAAACTGCTAATATTACTGGCATATATAGCAGTATTCCAACAAAGCAATAGGTGGTATTCTCATTTGTACCTTTTTGTCTCTTGAAAGTAGATCTTCTCAATCTACACAAGTTAACCACTTTATTCAAGCTCCGAATTGTGGAAATGTCTACAAAAAAAATTGACATGCTTTCTAAAATAATCAAGGATTCCTGAAATATACGTTATGTAGTCAAAAGTGTACAACCTAAAACACTGTATCTGTTAAGTATTGCTGTTTTTTAAACTAATGAACTAATATTATGCTTCAAACTTCACCAGTAATTTCTCCTCATTCATACTTGTACAACATGAAGTGCCTTGAAGTTTTCTATTTTAGGGGGCATATTTACATGTTAACTGAGTTAACTGAGTCAATTTTTCTCTTTAAAAGTCCTGCTATTTAGTTAAATCTGGAATATCTCATATCAGAGCACTTATTAGTAACCTTTTGTTCCATAAAGGTATACTCCCTTGTTTTAAGTGCCTCCAGTCTTAACCTAAAATTCCATAGTTTTGACTGTTCCCAGTAACCACCATTAACTTTATAGATTGCCACTTCTTACAGACTAATTAGTAACCCTATTTATCCAACTTCTTTCATAAAGCTATGCCCAGCTACTACAAAAAAGAAAGAAAACATACGTGATTTTTGCCTGTTAAAAAAACAAGTTACTACTTCCCAAATTGCCATGTTACCCAAATGCTTTAAAAAAAAAGGCATCACAACTTAAAATTGTTTCAAAGCAGGAAAACCTGGCAAATGGAGTTTGCAAGATTAATACTAATTTCTATAAAAGGGAGTGAATAAGTATTCTTATACAGAAGTAACATTTTAGCTACTATAAAAATGCTTAACTTCTACAAAAACCACAAACAGCAAAAAGACAATCCAGTAAATACAAGATTTTAAAAACTATGCACAAAAAAATACCAAGGTATTTAGGAACATGGGAAGGGTTTATACAGGTGGCAGTTAAAAAAAGTAACTCTTGACCACCATTAACTACACATTAACATACAATAATCAAAAAATATACTACAACTATAACTCTTAAAAAATAAAAGCAGTTTAACATTTCCTAAATGGATCTTTCTCCCCCAAAGACACACACTTTTACTGTGTATATAGCGGTTAATACTGCACAAATACAATCAGCAAGAATGTTTACTTTTAAAACGAAGATATAAAGGGAATGTTTCCCCTTAAAACAAGTTCTTAAACATCAAAATCTATGCTTATAAAAATTATTTAAAACTTTCAGCAGTTCAAATTTTTAAATGAAAAAATTGTGACAATCCTCTCTTCAAAATTAGTTTTCTACTGCTGAGTCCTTTGGAATTTTTTCAGGCTCCCTTTCTTCACTGGATGTTCTAAAAAGTAGAGGGGAGGAAAAGCAAAGATCAGTGCATACATACTCATAACACACCAACATTTTAGATCTTGTTTTAAACTACTAAACTTTTTAGTCTACAAAACCAAAAAAAAAAAATTCTACAGCAAGTTGTTAGAATTCAAGTTATACCAAGCTAGTTGTGACCATGTTGTCATGGGAAAGCAGCAGACAAACCATCCCATTTCTATATGCTCAACTGAGACAGACAAAGAACCACATGAATTTCATAGAGCTCATAACCTGGATTCAAGGTCCCTTCAGCTTTAAGTGAGCGGCCCTAAGTGGAATTTGGAACTGTTCCCAAAGAAAATGAGTAAAGAACATGAATGTACAACAGGAGTTTGGGGGTAAAACGTACTATACTAAAAGTCAACAAATTTCCTCACTTTTTCTTCATGGAGGCTTCATGCCTATCTTTACTTTCCTCATTGCTTTCTCCATTGTGTTGTGGCTGGTTGTTGTCTTGCGCATCTGATCCACCATTCAAAGTTTTTGAACCTTTTGAAATAAAATACCTTAAAGTTACATTATCCATAACTCAACACTTCATTATAATCAATATCAAGTTATTTTTAAATAACCTGAGTAGATTACACATACTTATGAGAAGTTTAAAAATAAATTTACATATATAATTATATAGGAGATAAAGAATTGCAGTCAATGCAATTCTTAAATTCTTGGTTTATAAGTAAGCACTCATTATTTCTTGCCCACCAAAATCACTTTCTATGGGTATATTCTCCAAGTCAGAGCATAAGTAGTTACAATATTCATCCTGCAGCCAAATGCTAATAGTTCATTAAAATCTTAAAGTGAGGGGCTAGAGAAAATGAGATTATTAAACACCCCTTTTCTATTATCAGATGGTTAAAAAATAATGGTAGTTGCTAAAGAAATCAAAGAGAAGAACTGGACAGACTCAACCTTGAGATAACAGACAGCTGTAGATATAGTAAGGGACAAATATAATAAAGAAGAAAAGCTCCATCTAGTAGCCAGTAGAAGGCTCAGTTCATCCTCTGATTTGGGCAGCACCCACCACTACTGTATTATATTGTCTAGCTTTACTAAACTACAAGTAACTTAAAAGAGTTTCAAGTAAAGAACTTAAAAATATCTGAGCCACAGATAAGAAATCACTACATACCTGTTTGTTCCTTTTCTAGCTTTTTATTTGGACCTTTCTTTCCCTGTTCTTTCGTTTTATTGGCCTCCTCATGTTGTCTCTGTTCAGCAAGTGATTTATTCAGCACTTGTGTAATAACAGAATCTCCTTCACCAACTAAAAACATGTTCTTAAACTTGTTGTATAGCATTGTAGACTTTTCCATAATAACCTGACTAACTTTAAAGCGCCTTATCTGGAAAGGACAAAGAAATGTTAGTAATCACATTGATCTATCTATAACATTCAAAATATAATGATTACAGCTAAACTCGATGGAATAAAAGGCAAAATGCTTACTTTCTTTAATGTTGTAATCATCTCCGTGTGTTTCTGTGCTTGTTGCATGGTGACCTGAAGTGATGCAAGCTCATCAAGGGCCTCAATACATCTGTTTACATCCTTTTTAACAAAAGAAAAGTTTCAGCATTTTGAGTTTCTCCTTAAACATGTAAAATTTCAGTTAAAGCGAATAGTCAATAATCTGACTAAATTCAATCATTTTTTAAGGTAGACTTCAAACAGAAAATACTTTGATATTTGAAAGACTTTTTTTAAACTGCCAGACATATCTAAAACCCTTCATATTACAATAAATTATCAAACTATGGCAGATACCATGCTTCTTCTATTTTATAATCATCATAAATAAACTTACAAGATTATCAATTTTGAGGGAGTTTTTAATTTCTGCATGTATCCTTTGAAGTCGAGAGTCCATTGATGTTTCTATTAAATATTTAGAAAATAAGGTGAATCATCAACTGAGTTTTCATCAAAATACTTCATAATTTTAAAGCTAAGAATTATCATCTAATTACTTAAACTTCTCAGTGATTGCTTTGGTCTTGGAGCAAATTCTAATCTGAAGCCTCTAGAAATTAACAACTCATTCTTATAAGTGACAAAACCCATTGAACCAGTCACACACAGAATGAGCAGTGAGTGTCTACTTCCACTAAAGATCTTATTTCTAGTGTTAACTTTCGCTGATGAGAACACCTCTTTTCCACGAGTAGATACTGTATATATAACAAGTCATTCACAAATCATTTAATAACACTGTGTCCACCTTTGGTAAAGCCAGAGAAATTTAAGGTTCACATAATCCCAAATGACCCTGATATTTCAATTTACACAAAAACATTAAGAACACAAAGCAGAACCAAATTTTTTCAGTATCTTCAGATAACATATCAAACTGTCAACCTTGCATATTGAGATAAATTACAAAATACAAGGTTTCATCTACTAACCTCTTTTCTTCTCCACTTTCTTAACTTCTGGCTTCTTGCTTTCATCTTTAGTCTGCCTATCAAATGTTAATAGAAATATTTTACAACCTTGCAACTTTGTAACACCAAAGGTTTTTAAACTGTTAATACTTTTTATTAAAATAAAGTCCCTATATTTTCAGGCGCTCATCATTTCTTTCAATTTTAGTGTCCAACATGATCTCTTAAAAGCAAACTTCAAACTGTTTTTCACCAAAAATCTGTATTCGTAATACTTTTTCAATTCTGATTTATTCTAATCAGTTAAGGGGTTTGGTAGATTTAAAGTTGCATAGAACAGTTAAATGGTGTCCAAGGTAAATATTTAGATGAAGAGGGGAAAATCCTAGTAATTCGACTTAATTCTGCTATATCAGAGAAATCGGCTATTTCCTAAATCTGAACATACTTAATTTCACTA